TAAGTGCGATATATACTAAAAAAAACTTTTCATTCCGTCTAGGCTCAATGCTTAATCTCCATTGTAAACTAGGCAATTCTAATGGATTATAGTCATAGATTGACGTACTACAGTCTGAAAAAAAATGAAGAATGACGTTAAGATGGCATGGTATGAAATGTGCAATAAGCTCTATATTTGAGCTGTATTTGAGTAAAAGTTTTTGAAGTACAATACAGAGCTCAAGTAATTGAGAAGCAGTAAAGTACATTTTTTTTTACTCCAACTTCAGGTGTTTTGTAACTAAGTTAATAAAGAACTCAACTAATCGATTTCAGCACATTCCCTTCCTTACTTACCTTGCGTACTACTAGCATTTTTTCTCTCAAATGTGTAAGATCATATTGCTCCTCACATCCAAAATGAGCAATGTGCATTCTCAAGCAAGCCTCTGAGATTTACCTTCCTAGAAATTATAGCGTAGCATGCGCACTACAAATTCCTACTGACAGAATTCTTTGCAAATTAGATATCCTTCCTTACTAATTGCTAGTGACTGCTCCGAAAGGTGCAGGTGCTGAAGTTAGAATTCTGCTAATTGTTCTTTCACAAGATTACACTTAGAGTGCTAAATTAAACAAGATATACTGCGCAGAGTTTTTTTTATACAAGAATTTTTTTCCTCAAATTGAATTGAAAGTATCACAACATTAATGCAAGTTATTCAATATCATGGCTATCAGAATTGTCTTTTTTCCCGTCTCTGTGGCTTTTGCATACATAAGAGACGGTGAGGAATTTGTTTTTCATTTTCTATTCAATTTTATGTACTTTTACACTTTGTTCGAAGATTCGATAGTATGTGTTCTATTATATATTCTTATAAATTTTGATATTTTTTCACTCCATGGTCAAAAATTTTCCGCAAGCAGTTCATTTGTCGTATCTTCGTGTGCAGCAGCACATATTTCACATCTGCATTCCAATTCACTTACTAAGTGCAGAGAGCTATCAGTGAAATAAGTGAAATGCCTTTCAAGACAGTGAAATGGAAATTTGGTGTAGTTTAACGTGATTTAATTTTATCAAGTAATTGGGTAATCCTTCACTGCACATTTTTTTATAAGATAAAACTTGCATGATGTCACCGACCTTGCACTCCAAGTATTTAGTACAAAACAAACATCAAAGTTCCCGGTCAACAAAGTACGGCTATTTGCTCCTAACCTGAGGCTAAGGAATTTGCGGAAGCACAAAGTCTTATTTTTCGTGCGAAAATCGAGAAGTAGAGTAGCAAAGAGCGTATAGGTGATAGTAATTGTTTTCAACATACTCAATTATGGTAATGCAATATCTTATTAAACGCACACTTCATTACTTCCTGCTGTAATTCGCTATTCTTCCAACTTTTCAAATCATCAGGTTTAAATGTCTGACATTTATCGTTCAATTCTATTGAGACTACTGACGACTTAATTAAAATTTCTCTGCTTCAGCTAAGAAATCGTCTACTGACAGCCAATAAAACATAGGAAATAGGATAGCAAATAGCATTCTAAGGTTTCCATTATCCCAAAGCCCCTCTCATATGCTATGATCGATCAAAGCAGTACTCCGTTTCTATGGTCAGAGTCGCTCTTTGTGTCCTTCTACTTCATCTGGTTCTTCAGCCACCAGTAATGTAACGGAAACTATTAAAATGTGATAGATTGGGTGCAATTCGCTTTTTCTGCCATGCGATAGCTTGGAGCTTTGGTGAAAAAAAACAAAATTATTCATAAACTTTCGAATGAATGGCAGCGCTTTCTTTTGCCACTGTTTACAGAAGTTCGAGATGTTACAGCTGAATTTTACTAGGTTTGATAGTACATAAAACAGTGCACAATACTATATCTATCATTATCTTAGAAAAAGGTTATCACAAAAAAGTAGTGAAAAAGTTTTACTTTCATTTTAAAAGAAGGATTTGTAGAAATAAAAGATTTCTTTCACCTTAAATAGTGATTATCTTGAATTGTTTTTTTGTTGCTTATTTTTCTTCTCAAATACTCTCCATCACCATAGTTACAAGATTAGGATTTTCAATGAGGCTACTTTTCTCACGATAAGTCTTTTTTTCCAGGCAATACATTGTTTAGGTAAGAAAATATGCAGTATATTGATTTTTCAAGTCTACAGATTATTTTATGTTTTTAATATTGAAAAAAGAAAGCGTGGAGATGAAAGAATATAAGAATCTAAGCTTTGTGAAGGATCAGCGAAAAATAATTTCAAAATGATAGTGATGCTCTACATAGAAAAGTAGTTACTCTCCTAATTATCTTATCCTTTTTTTAATTTCAATTCTATTCCAATTTTTTGAAAATACTTTGAGTTCCATGAAACAGGTAGCCATCTCCTCCCTTGATAGAGTTCTGTGACTACTATGAGTCTATTCTAATCATGCTCTCTTATCTAACCTGAATAGCAACTCATAATTCAAATCGCTTGTGAAATTCCTTTCATCATGGCTTTCGCTGTATTTCTTGCATAGAAACGGGAGAAAAAGACGGACATCAAGATTTCATAAGCCTTCGTCCGCTACCGCCAAAACATTTTTGCGAACCAGTGGGCAGCCATCAATCACTGGTTGTCTGGGATATTTTGCTAATAACATGAACGCAATCCATCTTCTAATAATGGAAGAAGAGGAAGTATTGAGAAGTGCATATCCCAAGCATTGTAACATTAACTTTAGGATATAGAGGCGCTCCTTGCATACGGTACTGTCATTAGAATTCCCCCCAAAAAGGTTTGCGGCATCATTACTAGTTTCTGCATGAAGGAATTTCAACTGAAATACATTAGTACGATATAATGACGATTTATTATATTTAGAATATTCAACTAACATGCACAGACATTGACTTCTAGATAAAAGTAGTATATCCTGCTGACAGGTAACCATATCATTCTATGTAACTAAATATTTACAGCAGTAACCGTTATTTTTCGAAAAAAAAGCGAATTATGAATGTAACTCAGACACTGCGATATTTGGCACAGGATTTGTCGTGTTTGGAATTTGGATGTCATGCCAAGACCAACCACGGTACAGAGCTACCAGTAAACCTAGACTTTCACGGAGGCCCTGATAGTGCGCTCGCACAGCTGTTGACACTCGCGATAATTGGCATCGACGATTTTGCGAACAATGTTTAGCTCAAAATAGATTGATTAAATAAATAGCTTATTCTTCTGAGGTAGTTTGAATACCTGTTCTTTGGAGACCTCGACAG